TGCCGTTGATGTCTGGGATCTCCGCGAGCTGTACGGGCATACCTTTCTCGGCGAAGGTGATCTTGATGTCACCATGGAGCTTCAGTCGTTCCACCTTAGTGACCCCCACGATCTCATTAGTTTCAAAGAACTTCTTGAGAACTAGGAGGTTTAATTTCTTGGGGCAGGTCGGCGTAACCGGACGTATCCGCGCCACGTTATCAAACTCGTAACCGTTCATGGTGAGAGAGGGTTAGAGGACAAATTGAGGGCGAGGCAGGGGGGTATTTATACAATCATGCCTACTCAAGATTTGAGTTGCGAAATGAAAGGCGCCGCTGATTGGCTGAGGCGAGGGCGGCAACTGGCCAATCAGCGAGCGACTCGGGGGCAAAAGCTGTGGTCTGGAACTTGCTGCTGATTGGCTGAGGCGAGAACGGCAGTTGGTCAATCAGGGAGCGACTCGGAGGCAGAAGTTGTGGTTTGAAACTCGCTGCTGATTGGCTGAGGCGAGAACGGAAGAGCAGTTGAAGGGAAGAGTATAGTGACCTCGTGGTGACCTACCTCTCTTTTCTACCTACACCAACCAGCAAGCAACACCTCCTCCTCCTCCTGCCTGGCGGCCCTCGCTCTCGCCGGCGAGCATGGCGACCCACAAGCTGGTCCTCCTCTGAGCATCCTCACCAACCAGCTCTCTCTACATCACGCTTGTAACCACACTGCCACTTCCCAGCACCAAGCTGCACTGTACATCCAATACAATATGTATACAGAGAGCACATTGTGAGTTTCCTTTCTCCATCCCATCCTGAGTGTGAACCAAATAACCCGTACCCCACAAATGGTGACCCCGGAGTGACGCACTCACACAGAATGGAGGAGGAACCAACAACTCGTACCCCACAGACGGTGACCCCCGGAGATTCGCACTCACACAGGATGTATTCTAAGTAACTACCCAGAGTAGGATAATATAAATGTTCAATTAGAAGGCCTGAAAGTCTTAAGAAACAAGAGTAATATACTGCTTGATTGGTAAATGTTGTAGTGTCCAGCCAGAGCCTCAGCTAGAATTGGGCCAACCGGGCCATGGTGTTACTGTTTTACTTTACTTTTACTGTTATCCTCTTCACCACTGATCGGCTCGTTTGCCGCTTCGGCTATCGGTCACGTCTCTGTTACGCACTATTGGCAAGTACTGGGCATGCACCGGCTCCTGAATGTACCTGAACCTGCTCCAGTGTTGGTCAAGTCTGGTCTTGAAAAAGCTCGCACTCGGTACCGTCACAACACTCTCTGGCAGGTTGTGCCAAGAGTTCACAACTCTCACTCCAAAAAAGTTTGCCCTCACAGTTTTCTGGACTTGCGGCAATCTTGAGCTGTGACCCCTTGTGGGGCGAGCGTCCGCCAGCTCCAGGTAAGGACACTCAACTGAATAATAATAATAATAATAATAATTAACGGTTTATTGAAAAAGTTCTGCAGCCCGAAGGCTGAAAATATACATTGGACATAAATGACTTATTACATACATTGGTGGTTTAACAAAAGCCTTCATTAGAGAAAGGTAAAGGAACATACAGTGAACATACAGATTAATGTAGGTGTTGAACAGCAAAAACGTAGTGTAGTAACTCCCTCCCAGATGGTATTAGGAGGGACCTCACGTGGTGTAGTGGTTCCCTCACAGATGGTGTTATGAGGGGCCTCACGTGGTGTAGTAATTCCCTCACAGATGGTGTTATGAGGGGCCTCACGTGGTGTAGTAATTCCCTCACAGATGGCGTTATGAGGGGCCTCACGTGGTGTAGTAATTCCCTCACAGATGGTGTTATGAGGGGCCTCACGTGGTGTAGTAATTCCCTCACAGATGGTGTTATGAGGGGCCTCACGTGGTGTAGTAATTCCCTCACAGGTGGTGTTATGAGGGGCCTCACGTGGTGTAGTAACTCCTTCACATATGGTGTTATGAGGGGCCTCACGTGGTGTAGTAATTCCCTCACAGATGGTGTTATATGAGTGAGGTGTGGTTCCAGGCCTTCCTATCGTAGACGGATTAACACATCGCTGGCTGTTGGGTCTCACGTTATCACTGGGTACCTGGGACCTCACTGTGTGAAGGTCAACTTGGGTACCACTGTTACTGTTGAGTTGTTCTCACTGACTTAAGCACTGTTCACCACTGTTCACCTCTGTTTAACACTGGTTCCATTCCTTTTCCAAATGAAATAGTAACTTCTGGCAGAACATGTTGATATTCCGGTGGGGAGGAGGGTTCAGGGGAGGGGGTTGGTATGGGCCAACATAACAGTTGACCTGGCTGCTCTGAGAGGAGCGCCAGGTACGTCTTGACCCTTCGGTGGTCAAGGATGTAGTGCCCCTTGAGATGCTTATACACCTCAATTAGGTCGCCTCTTGCCCGTGGGTGGGAAGTCTGCTCGGGCTGTCTCCTGCGTAGTTTATAAACATGCGCAAACTTCTTAATTTCTTCATCAGCTGATTAACAACATGGCGCCCGCCATCACCGATTTGACCGAACTCTCTACGGCTGTGTTGTATCCCTCACCCCCTCTGCAGGATAAAAAACAGTATAGGCTATTTAGGAATGTTAAAAAACTGCAAGGAAGGCAAAGAGGGACTACGAAATCAGGATAGCAAGAGAATCCAAGGAGGATCCCAAGGGGTTTTTCCAGGTATACAGGACAAAGGTCAAGGACAAAGTGGGGCCTTTAAAGTCAGGGAGACGGGAAGTGATCGATGACAGTGAGGAAATAAGCAAAGCATTAAACAGCTACTTTTTATCAGTTTTCACAGAAGAAATTCACGAAGAAATTCCAGAGGTGGAACTGACATTTAGAGGAAATGAAGAAGAGAAATTAAAGAATATCACTATCAGAAAAGAGGATGTTTTTAAGAAGATAAATAAATTAAAGAAGACAAAATCCCCAGGGTCGGATGAAATTTTCCCTCGAGTTTTGAAAGAGTGTAGGGAACAGATTATTAGCGGACCCCTCGTAAATTTATTTACAAAATCATTAGATATGTGAGTTGTGCCAGACTTGTGGAAACAGACAAATGTAGTACCCATATTCAAAAAGGGAGACAGAGCATCAGCGTCAAATTACCGGCCGATTAGTTTGACGTCAGTAGTGGGGAAATTTCTTGAATCAATTATACAAAATAGCATCTGATCGCATTTAGAGAAAAGCAAATTAATCTACGACTATCAACATGGGTTTACAATAGAAAAATCTTGTCTAACAAATCTGCTGACGTTTTTTAGGAAAGTCTTCGAGGTAGTAGATAATGACGAAAATTACGATGTTATTTACTTAGACTTTAGCAAAGCGTTTGACAGAGTACTGCGTCAGAGGCTTCTGAGAAAAGTTAAGGCTCATGGTATTGAGGGGAAAGTTTTAAATTGGATAAAATCATGGCTCACCGATAGAACACAGAGGGTCAGCGTAGATGGTGTTAAATCTGAGTGGGGCTGTGTAACCAGTGGGGTTACCCAGGGGTCAGTACTGGGCCCACTCTTGTTCATAATCTACATAAACGATCTAGATACTGGGATCAGCAGTGACATAAGCAAGTTTGCGGATGACACCAAAATAGGGCTGCAGATTAATTCAGGGCAGGCTGCAAATGCACTACAGGAGGATTTAAATAAACTGCAAGAGTGGTCAGAAAAATGGCAAATGAAATTCAACACCAGCAAGTGCAGCGTACTTAATATTGGAAGAACAAATACTGTCACTATATACAGCCTTAACAACATCAACCTAGAGAAGTCGACCTGTGAAAGAGACTTAGGGGTACTTGTAAGCCCGGGAGCTTCGGCCTAAGAAAACAGTGCGTTGATGTTTGAAATAAGGCAAACAGAGTATTAGGTTTTATATCTAGAAGTGTAAGTAATAAGAGTGCAGAGGTCTTATTGCAACTATATCTTGCGCTAGTCAGGCCGCACCTCGATTATGCGGTTCAGTTCAGGTGCCCTTATTATAGAATGGATATCAATTCACTGGAGTCGGTGCAGCGAAGAATGACGAAAATGATTCCGGGACTTAGAAACCTTCCATATCAAGATAGGTTAAAGAAACTAAACTTGCATTCCCTAGAAAGACGAAGAGTGCGGGGAGATATGATAGAAGTATTTAAGTGGGTGAAAGGAATCAATAAATTCGATATAGATAAAGTTCTTATAATATCCGAGAAGGATAGGACTCGTAGCAACGGATTTAAGTTGGATAAGTTTAGGTTTAGGAGGGAGATAGGAAGGAACTGGTTCACATATAGGGTAGTGGACGAGTGAAACAAGCTTAGCAACTTTGTAGTAAGTGCTGGAACGATGGAAAGTTTTAAAAGGAGGCTAGATAGATTCATGGATGATAGAGAGTGGTAGTAACTCTCGACAGGAGCTGCCATGCACAGGCCAACCGGCCTATTGCAGACTCCTTATTTTCTTAGGTTCTTATGTTCAATTCAATTCAACTCAGCGTGGTCATAAACACATCATCGCAACAACATATCATACTCAATATGTTCACCCGCTGAGAAGTTATTGTTCTACCTCTATACAGTACAGTTGATCAAATAAGGCTACATAATATTTAATTGTTTACACATTTCTCAGCAATTGTATACAGGGCCACCAAGAGCTGGCCACAGAGCCCGAGGGAAAGATAAATTTATGGGTCCCCTTTTGGCCTTTGAACGATTATCCAGTTATCCACACATCCCAATACATGCCCAGTACTTGCCAACAGTGCGAAACAGAGACATGACCGATCGCCCAAGCGGCTAACGAGCCGATCAGTGGTGAAGAGGATAAAAGTAAAAGTAAAAGTGATGTTCATAATATCAGCTTTCATTATTTTCCTATTATTACGCAAGAATCTGTATTGCGCAACGTGAGGACAATCTTGTCATCTCTTAGCAGACTTCTATAAACTGTCTTTTAGGGTTAATAAGTTTTCTCTAAAAAATATGGCCGTTATGATTAGAAAAAACATACTACCTACCTGGTGTTCCCTCCTTGTTTATCAAGTGTCCGTAGCCTCAAGCGAGTTACTGATGTTTAAGCTTATGTATATGCCACCAGTTTCATTTTATTTAATATATCACGTTTTTTTTAGATGTTTCTGTGAATCACCAATTTCAAATGTATATTTCTAAGCAGTCACTTGTCTTTTAATGAATCTGCGCAGAACTAGGAAACTTCAGTACCGGAGATACAATGCAGTGGTCTTGGTTGTTATGGACCCACACACTCGCAGCTGGCAGCTTGACAGTTACCAGTTCTTGAATACATGAAGAAGTAAATCGACAATTGCTCATGATATCATAATTTATAATAGTTTGAGTATTGTCTACCGTTTATTTTCTTTATAATAATACCACTAGCTGCCTACCAGTATGCCGTATGCTTTCTGCATTTAATATATTTACCAATAAATCATTTTGAACACGTGTCCTTCCCGTTTCAATATGTTTGAAGAACTGCAGTTACATTTTCCACAGTGCCAAAATGATAACTGTCTGTGGCTTGCCATGCCAATTCATCAGTACGCACTTAATGAAGGATTTATAACAGAAGACGTGGATGACACATTTTCGCCCTTGCTCTGCGGCCCTTATTTCCATTTGTTGCAACATTATTTGAATACAGCTTCTCATTGCGTATTATACAAAGCATATGCATTGTCTGAAATGGGAATAAACTACCGTTATGGGCTTCGTGCATACAAACGGTGAGGGCGAACTTTTTCGAGTGAAAATTGTGAACTCTTGGAATAATCTGCCAGAGAGTGTTGTGACGGCACCGAGTGTGAGCTGTTTCATGACCAGACATAACCAACACTGCAGCAGGGTCAGGTACATTCAGGAGCCAGTACATGCCTAGTACTTACCAACAGTGTGTAACAGAGACGTGACCGACCGCCTAAGCGGCTAACGAGCCGATCAGTGGCGAAAAGGATAAAAGTAAACGTAATACCAAACAAAAAGGTTCTTAGATCGGACTTTTTGTGCAAGAGATAGGAAACGTAGGTCTAGGGTATGTTTTCCTGGGGCTGGGATGGAGCATGTAGCGGAGAGGATGGATAAGAGGAATGTGAGTTCAGTATTGCTGGATATGACTCATTTACGAACCTATCTCAAGAAACTTGCAAGAGGGGTGTGGTTATCTACGCTAGGCAAGACCTTAGAGCCAGCCAGGCGAGGGTACAGGGAGAGGATGTTTTTGAAGAGTCCAAGTGGTGTAAAATAAAATTAAAGGGAGGGGACTTACTTATCGTCGGGTGTATCTACAGATCCCCAAACTGTGGCCCACTAAATCAAAGGAACTTAAGAACCTTAATAAACAATGCGGCGATGCTCAACCCTAGCCACCTCCTTATCATGGGGGACTTTAACTATGGCGACATCGACTGGAGAAACGAGTCAACCCCAAATGACTTGAATAACCCTGCTACTCTTTTTGTAGAAACTCTGAGAGATAATTTTCTGTTCCAACATGTGAGAGACCCGACACATTACAGGGGGGAGCAAACACCCAAGCCACTTGACCTCATCATAACAAACGAGGAGGGTATGGTGGCCAAACTGGAACACCTTGCCCCAGTTGGCACCAGTCACCATACAGTGTTGTCATTCAGATTTAACTGTTACCTAATTCAAGATAAGGCCAGGCCAAGGTGCAAATATTACAAGGGAAATTACAATGGGATGAGGGAAGAGATGAGGGGTATCAACTGGCCTGACTTATTAAGGTCCAAGAACGCAGACACTACGCTGAATATCATAACTAGTAAAATGACCCATTTGATCGATAAATATATACCCAAGACCAAACCCAGTGCTTCTAAGAATAGGAGGGGATTCCTACACATGAACCATGCGGCGGTCGACAAAATTAAGAAGAAAACCCAAAAATTCAAGACGTGGGTTGGGTCAAACGATGAGCAAGACAGGAGGATGTATGCAAGAGCCAGAAACCAAGCAAAAATAGAGTGTAGGAGGGCTGAAAAGGAGTTCCAGAGGCTGGTTGCACGCGAGGTCAAGTCAAACCCAAAGGCGTTTTACCGCTATGCAAAGTCGAAATTGAAAACGCGAGTAGGAGTATCAGACCTGAGGCTTGAAGATGGTAGTTACGCAGATTCTGACCAGGATAAAGCTGAGGCATTGAACAGCTTCTTTTCCTCAGTGTTCACAAGAGAGGATGCAACTAACCTTCCTGCGTTTGAGGACAGACGGTTCGACACAGCACTGACCCACATTGTGTTCACAGAAGAGGGTATTAGAAATAAACTGTCCAGGCTAAAGGTCCATAAGAGTCCCGGCCCTGACATGGTGCATCCTAGAGTGCTAAGAGAGCTGTGCAACGAGCTTGCAGAGCCCCTGAAGATTCTGTTTTGTAAATGCCTGGATGAACAAATGGTCCCCTGTGAATGGAAAGTGGCTTATGTGAGTCCTATCTTCAAGAAGGGCGATAGTCACTCCACGAACAACTATAGACCGGTGAGCCTGACCAGCATAATATGTAAAGTACTTGAGAGTATTATCAGAGATGCCGCGATGGAACATCTACTACGAAACAACCTTGTAAAAGATTGCCAACACGGTTTTATGCCGGGGCGCTCTTGCTTAACACAATTGCTCAAGGTATTGGATATTTGGACCCATATTCTGGAACGGGGTGGTAATATCGACAATATTTACCTAGATTTTGCCAAGGCTTTCGACAGTGTACCCCACGAAAGGCTGAAAATCAAACTGGAAGGGTACGGAATTCGGGGAAATGTCCTAGCGTGGATAGAAGACTTTCTACATGACCGCAAGCAGTGTGTGGTGATTAATGGCACGAAATCGTCATCTGTACCTGTCACAAGTGGGGTACCATAGGGCAGTGTATTGGGCTCGCTGTTGTTTGTTTGTTTCATAAATGACATGCCTGACGTTGTACACTCCTCCATACAAATGTTTGCCGATGATGGCAAGTTATTTCGGGAAATTAAGAACCAAGTAGACTGTGAAGAAGTGCAGAAGGACCTCTGTGGGCTCCAGGAATGGTCGAAGAAATGGCTGCTGAGATTCAATGTCACGAAGTGTAAGAGGATGCACCTGGGGCGTACCAACGGTAAGGAGGCGTATCATATGTCCCAACGGGATGAAGAAAATGCACTAGTTGAGACTGTGTGTGAGAAGGACCTAGGTGTGTATGTTGACAATGAGCTGAAGTTCTCGGGCCATTGTGAGAAGAAGGTAAATCAGGCAAATAAATTATTGGGTCTTATAAGAAGGTCGTTCAGATATCTAGACGGTCCGTCCCTCGTGACGATTTTCAGGAGTGAAGTGCTTCCCCATCTGGAGTACTGTCACTCCATCTGGTCCCCGAGATATGCTAGGGACTGTCAGTTGGTTGAAAATGTTCAAAGGAGGGCCACCAAACTGGTGCCTGCACTTCGGCACCTCAGTTACCCTGAGAGATTGGAGCGCCTGAACTTGCCTAGCTTATACTACAGACGGCAAGGGGGGACCTAGTTGAGGTGTATAAGCATCTCAGGGGGCACTACTCAGTTGAGTGTCCTTACTTGGAGCTGGCGGACGCTCGCCCCACAAGGGGTCACAGCTCAAGATTGAAGAAGCCGCAAGTCCAGAAAACCGTGAGGGCAAACTTTTTCGGAGTGAGGGTTGTAAACTCTTGGAACAATCTACCAGAGAGTGTTGTGACGGCACCGAGTGTGAGCTCTTTCAAGAGAAGACTTGACCAACACTGGAGCGGGTTCGGGTACATTCAGGAGCCGGTGCATGCCCAGTATTTGCCAACAGTGCGTGACAGAGACGTGACCGATCGCCCGGGCGGCTAGCGAGCCGATCTTTTGGAGAAGAAGATAAATGAAAAGAGACGTTACCGATTGCCCAAGCGGCTAACAAGCCGATGAGTGGCGAAGAGGATAAAAGTAAAGTAAAAAGTAAACTTGGGACATTTCTTTGTGATGTCACGCACCACCAACACGAGATGACTTAACGAAAAGCTCGCCAAATTATAATGCAGAACGAATATAAGAAATTTTTTTCACACGAAGAGTAGTAGACCAGTTCAAGCTGCGGAATCAAGAAGAGCGTTGTGACGGCACCTACAGTACTAGAGTGAGACTGTGAGCTCATTCTAGTACCTGCCAACAGAGCGTAAAAGAGACGTAACCGACCGCCCAAACAGCGAGGATGATAAAGTAAAGTACGAAATAACCTTCGACAAAATTATCAAGAACATTGGCCACTAGTCTCCTTCTATTGGCATGGATACATCTAATGTGTGGCCGTTGGATAAATAAGGTATCCGTAGAACAATATTAAGTGACCATTTAATTTCAGGGTCCGACAGTTTGTAAGTTTAAGCGACCATTGACAGTAAACAAATTGTGGCTACTCATTGGTGCTGTAACCGGTAATTTTCCCCTTAATTATATACATATCACGCTACTATCATACTTCACAATTATAAATTTAAGTTTTTTGTAACTTTTTTAATTGTGGTAAGTTGAGTTTAAGTGTTAATTAGAGCGTTTAAGGTGCTTGGTGATGGTTCTTTATATTCTTTACTAAATTTTTGCTTTATCATTATGAATTTATTAATTGCTGTATATGACTTGATTTATATAATGTGTGTAATTTGGGTAAATTGTTATTAGTTGCCCATAATCTATCAAATTAATGCGATTTTCTTGATAACGAATCATTAGCGACAGAAACATTGTGAGAAAAAGTTGTTAGAAATGACTAAATATACCTAAAACTTGACCCAAAAGTATTGTGGGACATTATGGGTAACTTGTTAAAATGTTTGGGCCTGAATCACACCAAAACCCAATGCAAAAACCCAGGTTTCATCTCAAAATCAGTTTCTCTGCTAGCCTAACCTGACCTAACCGCCACTGTTCAGAATATATATATATACTACCTAACTTTGGAACTGCCCGGCTGATGGGGGCTCTGACCCCTGGACCTCCAACAGAGCTTGTATCGAAGCAACCAACCAAACCTAACCTAACTAACCAAACTGGTATATGTGCATTTTACAGCAACCACGGAATTTGAAAAAAAAAAGTGATTTTCAGGGTGGGTTTTGGTGTGATTATTTCAAATCTGACCTTCGTTTTTGTCGGAATCACTCGTTTGTGATTTAGGCCCTCCTCCCTCCCCCCCTTCAGGGAAAATAGGCGGACGTTCTGGAACGTCACCCGGGGCCTAAGGGTTTAAAATACGTAATATAATTTATGAGAACATTTGTGGGTAAATATTCTTTTAATGGCTGTGGCTCCTTTTTGTTATGAGCGAATTTTGTAAAAAAAAATAATGTTTTATTTATTTATTTTTAATTCACTCATTTACACAAGTAAAGAAGGTCAGATTTGAATAAAATACACCTAAATAAACCCAAAAAATTTATTCTCATAAAAATTTCAACTTCCAAATCACTGTTGAAACCTAACCTAATGTCAGGGTTGACACACACCGTAGGGTAAAGACGTCGCCTGAGAGCAGCTGACTGGGTGCGGGAAGAACATCAGCTGACCTGGTTTATTTTTGAAATACGAAATACTTGCTGCTGTTATAGCTGTTTTGGTATCACATTGTTTAATTAAGTTCTGGAACTCTTTAAGTGGCTGGGTTTGATGTAAACACTTCTTGTTGTTTTCTTATTTATTGTAGAAGCAGCTATATACACAGATATAATCTGAGAGAATAAATTATGAATTCTCTCCAGGGAAGTGTTGTGAATAACACTTTGAGATAAAACTTCAGTTACGTGTCTGACTTCCCTGTCCAATTGGTATTAATCAACTGCCCTCTCTGGGAGGGAGCGAACCGGCTGTTTTGATTAATCAGTGGACCTGCGCTCGACCTTTGAGAGAGTTACAAGCTCAGCTATCTTTCTCTCGTCATCATCAACAGGTTGACTCACTTGGTTAATAAGTTTGTGTTATTCATTTGGGTGAATATTTATATAAAACAAAGGTGCTGTTACACCGCAGCCATTAAACGAATATTAACCCATCCGTGGAAAAAGTTAATGAAATCAAACAACTACTGGTGGTAGCAGTGTTTTCATAAATTACCCTAGGTTTAAGTTATGGTAAAGGTGTTATTGTTTTTTGGTAATCCTGGAGCAGAATGTGTTGTTCGAGTTTGTTAATATTTTTCCACAGATGTTCTTTGGATGATAGTAAGTATGTAATAAAAATGATACTACAATGCACAAATAATAGAACCTGACCTAATCAACCAAAGAAACCTACCTAACCTTACTTAATTTCCTAGCCCTGGCCCCCCGCCATATTAAACAAAAAGTACTCACTTTGATATGTGATACCAATGAAAGCAACTTTCTTGAAGTGTCATGGTGTAATTTTAAATTTTTTGTGGATGTGAGAGTACGCTCAGACCGCGCAAACAACAACACCCGCCGACACGGAAGATTTTTCTGAGGAATATTTATGGTAAATAATATTTCCTTCTCATACAAAACTCATAGAGATATTATTTTAGTGCCATGTGATGAGCTTTTCACTGTGTTTTATCTTTCAATTAACCTTACCCTTCATATCCTGCCCACTAAAGGTGATTTATGATTGTATACCCTGTATAGAGAAAAACTAAAAAAATATATATATACAGTCCGTAATTAAAATAAAAAGTTGTCGTCTAAGTTTTACTAGTTACAGTACTTACTATCATCCGAAGAACATCTGTGGAAATAATGAACAAAATCAAACAACTCCTGGTGTTAGCCGTCTTTCAGCATTACCATATTTTCTACAGTTCTTTGGAGGATACTGAGTAATAAAATTGAATTGACAAAATTGTATTTTTTTTTTTATTATTTTTTTTTTTTTTTACCCTCTCCTTCAATCATGAATTACTTGTTAGTGGGTAGGGCATGACAGAAGAAGGAAGTAACAGGGTTAAAACACTGCGAACACTGATCATATGACAGTAATTTCACATTTCTACCTGTTTTGTAGGTGAAAAATGAATTATCTACTGTAAATATGGCGCCAGGGTTCACATTGTCTACTATGTGGGAACTTCCGCTGACTTTGTTTACATGTCAAGAAACAAATGGCGATCTCATCGGTCATGTTGATTATAATTTATATTGGATTGAATTATTAATATTTCTAGAGGTGTTGATGGAGGATAGTAAATAAGAAAATTGAAATGACAATGCACAGATTAAGAAGTTCGGTAGGTTAGGTCAGGTTCTAATAGGTTCTGTGCATTCTTGTTTTCATTATCACATTCAGTACAGGTATCATGCAAATACCTGTAGTACAGTATCTCCAGAATTTTTTTAAAATTCCTTAAGTTATTTCTGGTGTTAATCATCTCGTCCACCTTTACCTAAGCTTAAACAGACACACCTGATTTCACGATTGAAGTTGGAAAAATAAATGTGAACATCATGCAGCAGCTGTCAAACTACCCCATTGTCAGTTTCAACTTGGGTAGGACAAGAGATTGACCCACCATCAAGTAAAGGTGGAACAAGCTGTACACTTTCCACCTCCTGTGCACCGCGATTTTATGTGTTCATCTATACTGAACCTACTGTAGAGGGACGTGTTTAAAATGGGTTAAAAACGTAATATAGTTTGTGTTATGTTAGATTAGATTAGGTTGAATTGGTGTAAGGTTAGATTAAGTTGGGATAGTGTTAGGTTATATTGGGTTAGTGTAAGGTTAGATTGGATAGGGTTAGTATTAGGTTAGGTGAAGTTGGGTTAGAATAGGTTAAATTATGCTGGGTTAGAATAGGTTAAATTAGGCTGGGTTAGAGTAGGTTAAATTAGGTTGGATTAGGATAGGTTAGATTAGATTGGGTTAGTGTAGGTTAGATTAGGTTGGGTTAGGATAAGTTAAATTAGATTAGGTTAGAATAGAATAGATTAAATTAGGTTTGATTAGGTTAAATTAGATTACATTGCATTAGGATAGGTTAGATTAGGCTGGGTTAGATTAGATTTGATTGGGTTAGAATAGGTTATATTAGGTTGGGTTAGGTAAGGGTGTCTAATCTTCAGGTGATCCTAGACTTGTCTTATAAGTGGTCCTTCTATACTTACAGAGACACGGCTGAAGGAAGCGAGAAGCAGCGAGATGTCTGAGGAGGAGCAACAAGCCAAGAAGGTGCTGGAGGAGGTGCCTGACCCAGACCTTGATAATCTGTTGGATGGTTAGTGTGTTCTTGTACAATCACCCCAGGGAGTGATGTCACTGTGATTCATGCAAACAGCAGTGTCTGGCAACGACATCTAAAGGGTGGTGTGTGGAAGCTGAACGAGTACCATAGAATACTCTACATACTATGTTTATGGGTCATAGAAGTTGGCAATTTAGCCAAATTTGATCTTTTATCCTAAGTAACGAATGGGCATTAAATGGAAATATTTGATACTTTACTTTATCCTCTTGGCCACTTGATAGCTTGTTAGCCACTTGGGCAATCAGTCACGTCTCTGTTACACACTGTTGGCATGTACTGGTTCCAGGAAGTATCTGTATTTGCACCAGTGTTGGTCAAGTCTGGTCTTGAATGAGCTCACACTGGGAGTCGTCATAAGGCTCTTTGGCAGATTGTTCCAAGAATTCACAACTCTCACTCCAAAAAAAGTTTGCCCTGACAATTTTTTGAACTTCTGGCTTTTTCAACTTTTAAGCTGTGACCTCTAGAAGGGTGAGCATTTGCCAGCTTCAGATGTGGACACTTTACTGAGTAATGTTCTCTGAGTTATTTATAGATTTCTACTAAGTCACCACTTGTCTGCCTATAGTGTAACCTAGGTAATTGCAGGTGATCTAATCTCTCTGGGTTACTAAGATGCTGTAGTGCAGACATCAGTCTGGTGGCCTTCCTTTGGATATTTTCAATCAACTGACAGTCTCTAGCATATCTTGGGGACCAGTCGGCGTGTCAGTACATGTACTCTAAATGGAGAAGTACTGTACCTCAGATTTGAAGAGCGTTACAAGGTATGGACCGTCTATGTATCTGAATGACCTTCATATAAGACCCACTAGTTTAGTTGCTTGATTCACCTTCTTCTCACAATGGCCTGAGAACTTCAGTTCATTGTCAACATACACACCCAAGTCCTTTTCACCTTCAGTCTCCGGTAATGCGGTTTCTTCATCCCGTTGGGACATGTGATATGCCTCCTTACTATTGGTATAACCTTGGTGCATCTTCTTAAATTTTGTGATGTTGAATCTTATCCCTTAAGCCCCGGGTTAGGGTGCTGCTGGCAGTAACCCCTCCCCCCCGGGTTAAATCGAGAAAAAAAATAAACTTTCCAAAAACAATTAAAAATAAAAAATAAAAATGGCAGGAAAATAGGCGGACGTTCTGGAACGTCACCCGGGGCCTAAGGGTTAACAGCCATTTCTTTGACTGCTCCTGAAGCTGACACAGGTCTTTCTGTAGCTCTTCACAGACTATTTGGTTCTTTTTCCCTGGATAACTTGGCATCGTCCACAAACATTTGTATACAGTACTTCCAGTTTTATTTCTAACCTTTCTTGGGGTATGCTGTCAAAATCCTGAGCGAAAGTTGAGGTATATACAGTAGAAGTATTGTCAATATTATCATCATTCTCCAGGATTTGGATCCACACAGCCAACATCTTAAGTAATTGCGTCAAGCAGGAGCGTCACAGCATAAAAGTTTGTTGGTATTCCTTTATGGGTTGTTTTATGGAAGATGTTCCATCAAGGCATTTACAATTGGTTCAGCATGACTTTGCAGGCATATAGTTTAGCATGTGTTAAGACAATGCAGGTACTGTATATACGAATAAAGGAAGTCCCCGAATTACAAAGGACCAACTTACGAACACCTGCACTTACTAACGGTATCCCATTATATGCATCACAAAAATCTATTACTAAAATCCCAATTTTTCTAGTATTACATATAGTATTAACATTATTTGTTATGTATGGGATATTATTGTTGCTTTGTATGGGCAGGATTGTGCTCTAACCTAACTTAAACTATGGAATTAATACTGTTGTGCCTTATGAACAGATTTACTTTTGAACAGGTTCCAGGAATGGGTAATTATTGACAACTGACCTGCTGCCGATTCTTCATAGAAAATGATTTTAAAAATGCTGCAATTGCATTGTGTTTTATAGTGGACACTTGTAGTTTGTGCAAGTATGTTAGAAAGTGGTTATTTCTAAATTAAACCTAACCTATCCTTAGATGATAAGAAAAACAAGGGGCAGAAGCGATGTTAGAAAACCTCACCAGCCTAACCAAAGAAACCTACCTAACCTTACCTAACATCCTAGTCGTGGGGCTACACCCCCAGGTATATTAAACAGAGAGAACTTACTATGATATGGTGTGATTTTACGTATTATGTGGACGTGAGAGCAGCCACCTGGACTGAACTGCTCATAAGCATACACTGACCATTGGTGTTGATTAGGGTGCCAGGGACAGTGTTTTGAAATACGTCAATATGATTGGCTGTACACATCTGGGGTATGGCATTACTGCTGCATCACTGCCAAGAAAGACAAAGTAGTGCATGCCCAGGTGCTTCATTGTTATTAAGAAAGCATGGAATTGACTTGAGGGTAGACTCACATTTTTAATACATTTGTTTCTGATTATTTGTGAAAGGATTTTTCCATTATTATTCATTTGTATGTGTTGTGTGTGTGTGTGTGTGTGTGTATGCACACATACACACATATATACAATACAAGTAAAAGAAATAATTGTCCTGAGGGAATACAGTATACATTTCTTTGCACACGAGTAAAAATGTACACCCCCCCCCCATAAATAAAAAATAAAATAAATAAAGATCAAAAGTGAAAAACAATGCATTATGTATGTTGTATTGTCAAAGTAAGAGAAACAATTGAGACCCTGTAATTGTGTGTAACTGAGGCAGAAGTCAGATCAGCAACCTGGGACTTGGTCACAATTTTTGTGATGCCATGTAGCAGCAGGGTCTACCATTAGACAACACATTATGCTTCCAATATCTTTCCAGGCGGTAGTACCTCCCTGTTTGGGAGCTGCCTTCAAGAAAACTAGATAATTTTAAAGTCTTTGAAGGTAATTAAAAGTGAGAAATGTGTTCTTATTCCACAGATGCCATACAAGACTTCAACAGGCCTCAGCTCCCTAAACCAGCTCCTGTGGGAGACTTGGCCTCAAAGGTAGCAGCTATGGGCATCGGGGCAGCTACGTCAGCGGGGACAGATGGGGCGGCCGGAAACGTGTGGACGGAGGAGTTCATTCAACAAGCCACATCAAATTTTGAGCAGACGATGAGAGCCATTATGGAACAGCAACAAGGAAGTGAGTAATGAGCTATTCATTCAATTTTCCTTTTATTCTTCCTGGTGGTGATAATTATTATTCATAATGCTGTGGGGTTTTTTTTCCGGAGAATAGCCCACCCCGGCACAGGTCATCGAACTACAATGGGGCCTAGGGGGTGAAAAAATAAGAATACAAAGAAAATAGAAAAAGAAAAGAAAAATATTATATTACTCTACACCACAAAGATGCCGGAAAACCATCTTTTTGAAGTGAGACAGATTGTATTTGTGTGGAAATATAGAAGAAGAGAGAGCATTCCACAGTTTGGCTGTGTGAGGAAAGAACATGATAAACAAATGAAGGCAGATTTTGAAGATGATAAACAAATGACAGCAGATTTTGAACATAATTAACAAATGACAGCAGATTTTGAACATAATAAACAGATGTCAGCAGATTTTGAAGATGATAAACATCTGACAGTAGATTTTGAACATTATAAGCAAATGACGGCAGATTTTATTAACCAGAGTTGGTGTGTAGATGTATAACAACAATATTTCAAACATAGTACAGTACTGTATCATAGCTCATACTTTCTGTGATTAATATGCAGCCTTATGACCTCTTGGATCTTTGCTGTGGTTGGGGACGTGGCGACCTTCAATTGCAGATGCCTGATTTTATTGCCGCATTATTCTTAGTCATTCCTGAATTGTTACCCACTGTGTACAGTCCTTATGTTAATTTCTCATATAGAGAATAAACATTTATGTGAAATTGTGTAGTCTGTAGTCCTCTGTCAGCCTGCACTTGTGTTTATTCTATCATTTACAATAGCTTGAGATGCCATCACTACCGTAAAAGATTGTTTATCCGAAAACCCGAACAATGTAAATGTGCTAACTACATAACATCCAAATAATGTAAACATCAAAATAAAGGAAACATCCAAACAACTTAAACATCCAAACAACGAAACAAAATTTACTTGACAAAAAATCATCCATTACTCCAAACTGCCAGTATATTTTCAAAAGGCTCCAATGCATCGATCATCGCTGTCTGCAACCTGTAACTGCGGCCACATGCGATCGCCTCTTAAGACAACCATCGCAGTGCTCTACTATGAAATGTTTTGATAATTGCGTGGGAATGACAGACTATAAAGGAATTGTCATATATAATGGTATACAGTACAGCCAATCCAAAAAGTATCAAGACCCAACCTAACCACTACAAGAACGTGCCTGAGATTATTGCTCGTCCTCGTTTCCGTCTAGACCCTGAGATCTCGATACTTTTTAGGCAGGAGCTGTGCAAATCCATCTGGCACATTCAGCAACCTTCAGTTTAGGTCATTAGTTAGTCACCCACTAAGACTACCCACTAAAACATACCACAAAAAATTTCTTAGGACACCACCTTTATGAACTTTAGTAATAATTCCATCATTTCAGAAATAAATTTTAAATAAGGATCAATACGTGTCTAAGTATAATATTTATGCAGGTGGTGGTGTGCAGAAGCCTGCCACAGAAGGTCCAGAAGAGGACACTACTGGAGGTGCCCAACCATTTGATTTATCTGCCATGTCTGCTCAGTTTGCCAAGTTTGCTGAAGCTGCCTCTAAAACTACCTCTGAAGCCCCACCTGGTGCTGACTTTGTCCAGTGCCTCGATGATACGATGAAGCAACTCAGTCAAAACAACGAACAGCTTCAGGTATTTTTTGTTTTGCTTTTACTGTAAAAATACACAGTTGGACCTCCATCTAGCAGAATAATGTATATGGAGAGGGAGGTTTATTAGATTGAGTTTCCGTTACATGTGAAACCTCCATTTAACTGACTATAACCACCGGGACAAGGTCCGTTATCTGGCAGTTTCACCATATACAAAGTTCAAATGCCTCAGTTCAAGTTTGTATGTTATAGATATTAAACCAAAGTAAAACCATTCATAGTAGACATGTACAGTATATTAGATCCAGTTTTACTTATCTTGATGTTATAATGTAGACATGTCACGCTGGGGCATATTCTCCCTAGCTGAGTCTTGTCCTTAATATTTACACCAGGAATTTATAGAGTGAAAATTATAATGAATTGCTTTAGTTAAATCACAATTTAAAAAAAATTGGAGTACATTCTGTAATGTCTGTTCTGTGTACAGTCGATAAAAAAAACTCCTTACAAATTGTGTTAGACAATATGACACAACGGATGAAGGATTTTGGCAACCCTCCTGAGACAACAGAATTCAGTGTTCATTTTGAAATTCATCAACCCCCCTAATTACAGATAGTTTTTGGATCAACTGTACATTATTTTTTGTACTCTTAGAATTGTCTCTTATAATAGATCAAGACATTAAGATGTGTAAATATAATCTGTAAAGGTTTTAAGCTACATAAGGGCATTACTGTACAGTATTTAATGTACTATAGCAGCTGTGAGTGATAGTATGGTTTTGGTTGTCCTTTGTGTGGTAGAAATAACAGTGAGACATCAGGGCCGGCATTCTATTAGTTCAAAGTGTACGGTAGTATAAGTCTCAGACATGATTGAACCATCAAAGCTAAGAAATAATTTGAGGTATAATTCTTAATAGGTGCTCCTCTACTGAAGAACGTTCAACTTACAAACTTTCAGAGATACAAACATCATCAGGGGGGGTTACCTGCCAGAGCAGGTGTTTAATGTGGATGAGACTGGATTATTGTGAGGAAAATTCCAGATAGAACAAATTTTACCTAAGAGGGGAAGAGCGAGCCAGGTTTTAAGGCTGTATTTAAGGGTATAGCTGTACTAAATATCCATAATCTTTTCATTTTTTACAATATGTTTGGTATCTACAAGAGTAAAGTAGGACTTACAAACAAGCCTCAGGAACGTAACTCGTTTGTAAGTAGAGGAGCACCTGTATACTGTACTGTATATGAAATGAGAGTACAGTATATTAGAAATTTTCTTTTTCATTATTTATTTGATAATTTGAATTGTATTGGATACTCGCTTCGAAAGTATCTTTACAATTTTGTGTTAGGTATTATAACACATCACATGAAAGATTTTGACAACCCCACAGAGAAAACAGGAGTCGCAGTGTTCATTTTGAAATTTACCAGACCCCATCCGTTAAGATACTTTTTGGAGTGTGTGTGTATATAAAATTCTTGTCACAGCTCAGGAATTGAGACAATTTTGAGTCCCCAATTTGTTCACTATGCTTGAAGAAGACCCACATCTCTCTGTCAGGGAGTTGAGCTTACCTTGGAGCTACAGTTACTTTCCTGGTAGGCACTACACCACTCCTGTGACAGAGAAACACCGATATAACAGGAGATTCAGAGTGGCCCTTTCCCCTCCCCAGATCTGTGTGCCAACTCCTGTGCACATGAGAAATATTTATTCCCTTTATGTTTTTGACCTTATGATATAGTAATTATTTCTTTTATTATATTTTTTGCTCATTCTGTATGAATGATTGTTTGTGCATGTAACAATAAAAAAAAATAAAAAAAATTACTTATATTTACCCAAAATTATGTGTTGAAAAATCATCATAACGTACAATATATCACAACTCGGCCTCACCCACTCTTGAGTGCTATTAGGTGACGAGTTGGCGACACAGTTACAGTCTACAAGCCCACCCATACAATCACTTGCCACATAATACAGGTTGACAATCCCTTATCCGAAATCCTTGGGACCAGATGCATTTCGGTTTTTGGAATTTTTCGGTTTTCAGAATGGTTAGGTTTTTTTTTTTTTTTTTTACCAGGGATCAGCCCAGGGGCACAGGTCACTGACCCACATTGGGGCCTGGGGGCTAAAATATAATAATAATAATAATAATAATAATACTGTAATAATAATAATAATCATAGGTCTAGGTCGTGTTTCTCACTTTTGATCTTTTTTTCATTCTTGTATTTCTTTATTATTATTATTATTATTTTATTATTACAGTATTATTGTTATTATTATTATTGTTATCATTCTTATTTTATTTTTGTGTATTTTTTATTAAAAATTTTATTTACTATGAATAATTATTATTATTACTGTATTATCATTATTATTATTATTATATTATTATTACTATTACATTTTCAACCCCCAGGCCCCGATGTGGGTCAGTGACCTGTGCCCGGGTGGGCTGTTCCAAAAAAAAAAAAAAAAAAAATTGCTCCACAAAAAAACTTTCGATTTTCAGAGCTTTTTGGCTTTTGGAATTTCGGATAAAGTGTTGTCAACCTGTACACACTCATGCTTTTAATTGTTCTTATTTTATAGTTTTACATTATATTTTCTTTATAAGCCACATTACATATAACAATGGTGACATGCCATCTCCACGATAATTATTATTCCTTGTTATCCTCGTTTAGGATAACATTCCTCGTTAACCTTCGTTTAGCGATAATTTCGCTAACATTGGGTTTCTCAGGAACACATCCCCATCATTATATGAGGGATACCTGCACCATGCTCTTAACAGTGTGGGACTTATTGTAATACATTATAATTTTTGTGTACTTTTCCAGGATCCACCTTCAGGAGATGACCTCAGTAAGATGTTTGAGAACCTAGGTCTGATGGGGGACCAGGAAGGAGATGGAGCAGTGGGTGGCCTTTTCCCTCTGATGCAGGTCATGCTAGAAAACATCCTCTCAAAAGAAGTATTGTATCCCTCCATGAAGGAGATAACTGATAAGGTCAGCACCTCAGTCTTGTGTTTGTGTCAAGTGTTCAAGATATGGATCAACAAAAAATGGGAAACTTGTCAAAAATTAACTTATTACCGTTAACTGCTGGGATGTTGGTCATCATTAGTGATCCATTTTTGCACATGGGGGCAGAGTAGGGAATCCTTAACTACTGGTTAAGGGTTAAATATTACATTGTTTTCTAATGAGATGGATGAGTGTTAAAGAGTTTTCAAGGGGTGACTATAATGATTATCAGTTTCATGTTGTAATTTTGACATGTTACTCCTTTATCCTTGTAAGAAATGGGAGTTTCTATGTTCCTCTGTCTCACCCACATTGTACTCTGGTAAGGATGGGTTTGTAAGTGTGGAGAAAGAAATGGAGAGTTTTAAATGTCTCATCTGAGAGCCTTTCATTTATTAAGGAAGGTGATACAGATGGTGTGTTATTGACTTTTAATTTGTTACTTGACACCTGTAGATTGTAAACTTGTATTCTTCCCTCAACATTCGCGCGAGATAGGCGCCTAGGACACCCGTGAATGTAGAATTTTGCGAATAACATTCTTTAATACAGAAGGGTCTGGATATATCGCGAGATAAGGTCCAAGGATGTTCGCTATATACTAAATCACGATATATAATTACATGTAATCAATGGGGATCATAGGGTTAGGTTCTGGAGGCCAATAAAAGTGACTAAACTTGGCATAAAATGGCACAGTCTAAAGTTAACAGAATATAAATTGCATTGCTGGAATCCTTGCAAGACAGTGAATCATTTGAATATAGACATCATATATTTTTCACAAGAGATAAAAAATTTTGTCGTTTGGCTTTTATTTACTGGTTTGGCAATACAGTACAGTATTTTTTGTTATAACTTATTTATTGGTATTAGTTTATTTATTCCTCACATTTCCTGATACTGTATACATGAGGCTACAGGAGGAAAATACACACAAAAGTTTTTTCCTAAATATTCCCTGCTACAATGGGGGATGCATTTTATATGCCATAAAATACGATACTGTATTTTTGGTGTTTTTTAAATCATTATTTATCATTTTTATACATTTAGTACGTTTGCCGGAAGATACAGACAATCGGCTTTTTCAGACAGGTGGTCCCCCCTTTTAGTCCGGGTCTTCCAGGGTTCACTGTAGATATTCGCAGATTTGTCAATTTGCGGTCATTTAAGACCCAAACCCCCTTGAATTTTAAGGGCATGTTGTAACTTGTAATATTATCAAGTACTAAAACTTTATCTTTACAGTATCCAGATTGGCTTGCTGACCATCGTAGCAGTTTACCTGAGGAGGAATTTACACGATACAACAAGCAGTATGATGTTATGAAGCAAGTAAGTACACGAGCCCACGTCTTTTGAGAGAGTTGGGCAGGAGTCCCGTTATGGGCCTTCATAGTGAACAGAATTGTGATCACCTGAAGGTTAACCCTCCAGCTTATTTCACCTGATGATTAACCACTGTACAGTAATGCTAACCTATCCTAACCTATTGCTAAACTACCTTAACTTAATCTAACTTAGCATAACCAAGCCTAATCAAACCCAACAAAATCAATCCTAACCTAATCAAGTCAATCTAATCCTAAACTAACCTAACATAATGTAACCAAACCCAACATAACGTAACCTTACTTAATGTAATGCTAAGCAGACCTAATGTAACTTAATCCAACTAAGTCTAACCTAACACTATCCTAATCAGACCAAACCTAATGCTAACCTAACCTAACTTAACCTAATGCTAACCCAACCCAACCCCCTGTAGTAGCCTTAGAGTATATAATCATCAATTGAAATAAGCTGCAGTGGGCTAATCATCAGGTAATCCCAGTGTCAATAGTTATGAATAGTTCATGTTGTGTACTAGTGTGTGATTGGTTACAGGAGTTGTGGTCAGTCAGCTGAAAATTAGAACTTCTTACAGGAACATATCACAGTATAATGGAAGGGAGAGAAGGGTGTATGGTGCAGCACAGTATATGTAAGGGAGGGTATGTGATGTAGTGAAACTATTGTGAGGGGAATATACAACAAACAGAGATAGAGTACCAAGTGAATTGTGGTATCAACAGTGAAGATGTGTGATGGAGTCCTAGGGAAGGAAGAGGTTGTGTTTGCATGAGAAGGGCTTAAAACAATGAGGAAAGTATTACGGTTTTGTTTATGAATTTTCTTCACTTTTGTATTTTTTACCTTTTGTACTTTTCTCCACTTATTCATTTAGTGTAGCTCCCAAACTCAATGCAAGGTATCAATTGTGGTTTTATTTACCAGGTAGTGCAGCTGTATGAGGAAGAGCAAGAAAAAGACTCGGATGAGGCCAGAGGACAACGGTTTGAGAAGATCATGCAGTTGATGCAGAAGGTGGGATATTTATTGGACATCTTCGCGTGTGTGTGTAATAATAATAATAATAATAAATTGTTTATTGAAAAAGTTCTGCAGCCCGAAGGCTGAAACTATACATTGGACAAAAATGGCTTATTACAAACAAAGACATCGGGTGGGTGGGTCGTTTAACAAAAGCTTTCATTACTGAAAGAAGAAGGAACATGAATTGAACATACAAACTATTATAGTTTACAGTTGATGGCCCGGGCCTGGACTGGTCATGGAAACACCAGGTGGTGTGGTGTTCACATGGTGTAGTAACTCGTCCTCGGGTGTTGATATGAAGGACCTCACGTGGTCATGGGGTCAACGGGTGGTGTGGTGTTTACGTGGTGCAGTAACTCATCCTCGGGTGTTGATATGAAGGACCTCACGTGGTCATGGGGACACCTGGTGGTGTGGGGTGGTGTTCACAGTACCTAGCCCTGCTGGGTGATGTTGTGTTATCTCGTAGTCAGGTGTGAAGCCGATCCACTGTTGTTCCCATGGTGGACTGATTAGCACCTCCTGGTCAGAAAATGACGGTCAGTTCCCAGGGGTGCTCATCTCACTGGTGGGTCACGGTACTGTCTAGTGCTGAATTCACTGGCTTAATCACTGTCCATCACTGTTCAACACTGGTCCCACTTCTTTCCGAAACGAAATTGTCACTTTTGATTATGTTGATATCCCGGGAGAGGGACTTGGGGAATGGGCCAAACATTGTCCAAGGGAGGCAGCTGCTTAGCAGAAGCAGCGCCTGAATAGGCCTTGACCCTACGGTGGTCAGGGATGTAGTGTGTGTATGTGTGCTCTGAATTGTGAAATTACCAGACTTTGTTACTTAAGTAAAAGTTTTGTTTCATTGGCAAAATGTTACTCGGATAGAGGTAAAAGTATCCAAAATTTAGTGTAATCAAATAGGAGTAAAAAGTATCCCATTCATAAAGTACTCAAGGAGTGAAAGTAAAAAAACAACAACAAAATGATTTATTGTCTCAAATAGTAAAATAAATCCACAGTAAATTATAAAAACTATTTAACTAAAGATAAAAATAAAAGATACATAGCATTACACATGTTTCTTTGCGATCAGAATCTTTTAGGCCTAAATATAAGCCCAGCATGACCTACCGAAAGAGAATACATTCAGCCGCTCTTCTCCTTGCAATCCATCGCAGGGATAGTGAATGGGCTGAAAATATATCCATCCAACACTATGGTCACTTTCTTCCTTATCCACACAAGTATCATCGACGTGGCTTTATGGGCAGCAGCCAATGTTGTCTCTGCTCACATTAGGTTAGGATATAGATCTATCTGGCAAGTATCTGAGGCAAGGCATGACCCGTACTTCTCTTCCTGTAAACTGTATAACTGTCCTAACGCTAGCACCCTTCAACTTGACTGTCCCACTGTCAGGGACCTCCTACCACAGGAAAAGTCACTCACCACTATATGTCTCCACCTACTTATACATAATAAATTCAGATATAATTCTTGTATGCTACTCTTGCTTTGTTGGGTGCTAACTCCAATTGTCCTTAAATCATACCAATATTGTCTCCATATCACAATTCATAGCGTATCCTGCGAGATACGAGTACCACTGTGTTAGTGTCTGACTGCATGGTCTTGTAACTAGGCTTGTCGCCCCCTGGGATGTAATAAATTAATTAAATAATAAATAATAAGCCCAACATGATTAAACATATGTTCTCAAGCAGCAGATGCAGGTAGAGTGAGGTGTTAAGCTTGAGAGATAAGTCACATAATGTTGGGAAAGACCTCAGTAGCTCCAGTCCATCCCCTGGGCATGCAAGTAGCTATCAAGGTCCTTCAGCTGAGGAGTTTGTGGATGAATGTTGCCTCCATAGTGACTGAGTCTGACTAAGACTCATCGTGAACTGTCCCTCAAATTGGGGTGTGGCTGTGGTGATGTCACTTTTCGATTCTAATTGATGAGTGGCTGAATTTTTCGCACCATGTTATATCTGGCAGGTGCTGAGGGGGGGGAGGGGCAGTGGTATTTACCATAGTTATTTAAGCAGAATTTTAAATACACTCGGTCTCACACACATATTTATAGATACAGGCTTTATATCTAAGGTGGAATTAAGGAAAGCATTTTAGAATCACAGCCTCTGAAATTCATTTTAGGTACAGGTATATGCAAAGAGTAACTGACGTCTAACGGAAAGACCAAGCCCCTGAAGGAAAGGTGGGGGAGGTGAGAGGGGAGTTGATGGGAAGGAGAGGGATAAGAGGGTAGGCTAGGCTAGGTGAGGTGGGTGGTCAAGGTGCTAATGGACACATGAAGATCAAAGGAAAAGTCAACTATCATGGTCACTACCACCTGACCTGACGTCACTTCACCTCACTATACCTCTAGGTATGTGACTGCGTGGTGTCTCCCCCACACCGTATCCTTCACGGCTCCTCCCACAAAACTCTTTTATTATGGATAATAATTAATTACTTAATTAAAATATATATTATTAGTTTGCATGTAACGAGTAACGATTTTTTTTTTCAATTGTATTGGAGTAACAGTACTGTATTAGAAAACCATACTTAAGTAAAAGTAAAGGTGCTAACATATTTAAGTATTGGGTACTTTATAAAAATTAAGTACCCCAAAATGTTACAGTACTTGGGTACACCCACCTCTCCTTTTACACCGAGGTTACGTTCTTGAAAACCACCGCTTAATTAAAAAATGCACAAATTAAAAATAATTTTCCCATAAAAATACATGTAAATGGTACAGGTTAGGGGAACCATCATATACCGTACATGGTACGAACAGTGCTCTCACTTAAACCAAGCACACGGCCAACCTCCGACACACGCTCTCCTCTCTGAAGGCGGGTGATCACATTTAATTTCACGTTCATTGAGATTGTTTTTCGTGCCTTTTTAGCTTTAGGCACCCCTGAGGAGGCAGATGGATGTTTTCCAGACATGCTCAATGGGGGAAACAGCATTTAACACTAAGAAAGTATGATAAACACACAATGCAAATGAAAGCACAGGGAAAAAGTAGTGCTGGTGTGAACTGAGAAAGCGATACGTGGGAAGCTTGCTGGACGTCGTCACAGTTGTTGTACAGAATACTTCATTATCATCATTATCTTCATCATTAGTAGTAATAATCTTTATTATTACATTATTTTAATAATTATTATTATTAACAATAATATTAAAATTGTTGATGTTGATATGACTGAGACTTTATAGTAATAACTTACAAGCACCTCACCAGTCATCACATGCAACTCCACTGACAGGCGACCAGGTGAATACGCGCGGTAAATTTAAACTTTCTTGAGCGCGTTATTTCAAGAATAGGTGCGCGTACATTAACTTTTGGTATTAATTGAACAATCGCGTTATTCCAAAATTGCTTGAATCAAACGCGAGTTAACTGTACAGTGCTCAAGTAAATTTATTTAGTTACAGTGATATCTCTGTTAGCCGGAACAATTGGTGCAGAGCACTTCCGAGAATGAGAGATTTCAAGGTAACGAGACGACTCTCTCAAAGCCAGGAAAATTTTTGTCGGAAGTTTCAGAAATTGCGCATTACATCATCTATCGAGCCCGGAAAGAAATCTCACAACTCTGAAATTTTTCCTGGTATGATGCATTATTTCATCATCTTAAAAGATGAAAAAAAGAATCCATCCGGAAAATTTTCTCGGAATCTCCAGAAAATGACCCTGATTTTCATCTTTGAAATCCAGAAAAAATCCCCCATTCCTGGTATTTTCTAGAATTTTCTGGTTTCCAGGAAATTTTCTCAGAAATTTCCAGAAAATGTGTTCCATAGAAAATCTAAAATTCAGCTATCGGAGAGTTCCGGTTCAAAGGGATTCCGGCTAACAGAGATATTACTTTACAGTAAACTCTCGATTTAACGAACTCTCGATTTAGTGAAAGGCATTTTTTCCGTTGTTTATTGCTCCACTGACAACTACCCAGTAATATCCCTTCCTGGCTGTCAACACCACACCTCCCCTTCTCCCAGCCAGCAGGTGATAAGGATTTTATAGGATGAAGAGGCTTAAAGTTTATCTCATAAAATTTCAGACTTGACATAGTAGAATATAACTTGCATTGCTGGAATTCTTGCAAGGTAGCGATTAATTTGAGTGTAAACATCTCATAGTTTGCACAAGAGAATTTTTTTAGTCCTTTAGCTCAGTACATTTGAGTGCAGAGCGAGTACAGTAATATGATGCTCAAATTATGGCTTTTTCACAGGGAAAAGTTTTTTTAACTGATCCCAGTGGTTAGGATATTATGGTATTGAATTTTACAGAGTATTTCAAATAAATTCTTTGTTTAGTTCTGACCGTTCACCCCCAGAAAGGTTCGTCTCCCACCCCTGCCTCTGTCATTCTTACTGTTACTCTACAAAATATTGTTCATTTGTTATTTATTAATTCGTAATAATTTTAGCTTATTAATACCAGTACCCTTAAGGCCCGTCCACATGATCGAGTAGTGCCCGGCGGGCACGCGCTAAATGCCCGTTATTGGGCAAAATTGGCGGGCAAACCAGCGGAGTGCCCGTGCCCGTTGTTGAGCGAAATCATGGTCCCCCTGCCTGGTGGTTTGCTGCCGGATATGGAGTGACGACTCTAGTCCCATAGTTTCCTGTCTATGCATATCATAATTCTAACATTATTCAATGAATTTTTATGTATTACAAATCTCACCTGCAAGTAATCTTCTTTGAGTACTTCATACATGGCTTGACAAGTTGCAGGTATTATGCAAGACAAACTTTGTTTTGATATCCTCGTTCTATACTGAAGTGACGTGTAGGTGCACCCAGTTGAAAGATATATGAGCGTTGCCTCTAGACGAGCCTCTGCAGATATACTCTCCCTCATATTGGTATCCTGTTTTTTTATATATGGTTCCACTTTTGCTAGAAGTTTGTAAAAGGTGTTGGGGGTCCATTCTCATGTAATTGGTGAAGTCTTGCTCAAGTCCATCTTGCAGTTCACGTAAAATCGTGGCACTGCTCAATCGTGTGGACGGGGCTTTAATATACAGTAAAATACTTATTTTTACCTTATTATTCAGCTTGTCATTTAATTTCCATGCAAATTACTGATTATATATTATATTTTTTCTATAGTAGGAGTATATTTTATTTTATCAATGATAAAACATGCACCATAAGAGGCTGATCATACAAGAATACTGTACAGTATATAATAATAAATGTTGGAGGGTGTGTGTTGGTGGTGTTGGAGGGTGTGTGTTGGTGGTGTTGGAGGGTGTGTGTGATGTTAAGGTGTGTTCCTCACACACACACACACACACACACACACACACACACACACACACACACACACACACACACACAGGAATTAAGACAACACACGTCCAATGAGGGTCTTGTTGTGTGACTGCCTGGAGGCGAGATAAACATCAGCTGTTGACGAGTGTTTGGCAACACAGTGCATGTTACCACTCCTTTCCACTTCATCTCTAATCACTCTCTCCATTTTTAAAATGTTATGTAACGTAATGTTGAAGGGATACAACTTTGCTCATTTATACTTATACTTATCACAATCTCCCTAAAAATATTTTAGCTTTGTCTTTATTCAAGACATCTTCAGGTCATGAGATCCACTAATCCCCCACCCAAGAAAGGGTGACATGACATTCTATCCCTGTAAATTCAGTTGACTCTGAAGATATCTTGAATAAAGACGAAAGCTAAGGTGCTTCAGTGTACTTAGTTGACTGAGAGGTGGCAGTGAACAACACACGTGGTGCCGGGAGGGCACAGACTGAGCGGATGTAAACAAACCTGACGTGTGGTGTGTTTGGCGTTGAAGTTAATGGAATCGTGCACGATTTAGTGAAATATTTTGGTAAATCGAGCGAACATAATGGAAAGCTTGATTTAGCAGAAATTTCTATTTAACGAACAGGGGTGTTTCGAATTACAGCTCCTCCCCCAACTTACGATGGGGTTAGGGACCCAAATCCAGGTCTTAAGTCGAAATGGTCGTAAGTCGAAAATGTTTAAATAATACAGTGAACCCTCACTTTACGCGGTTAATTCAACCCACAGGGTACCGCGGAAAGTGAGAAACGCGTAAAGTGAACAACATAACATATGGGATTAATTGAAATAGAGACCAGGCCGACCCCCAAACTCCACTTTTTCAGACACAATACCTACGCTGTAGCAAAATAACTTCTTAATTTTATGATGGTATGCACACACAATTAATAATTAAGAGAAATATCAATATTAGGTTTTTTAACACTTACATTAGTACAAAAGATGGCGGCCTTTAATTATCCCCCGGGTTGGCACCCTAACATGGAGTGAAAGGGATCTGTGAATTTTCCTGTATTTCTTTAAAATTAAAAATGGATTGTGTAAATATGCAGTGTGTTATGCTGTCAAAACTGTGCAGATATAACTATATAAACTGACCTACTGTACTGTACTCAGCAGCCACTGCCGCTGTGTGTTAATCAGTCATAAGGAAAAGATACCTACTTATGTTGAAGTTTTATGTATGTCTAAAGTTGGGATGAGTTAAAACAAGTAATGGCATTCAAATTCACTCACATAAAAATATTCTATAGCTAATATTTACATTTTCATTACAAACAGTAAGTTTTAAGATGAAAATAATAATCCCCCTCCCCTATTTTTTCTCAATATCCTGGGTACACCACTAAACATGTCTGTAGTGTAGAGTCTTAAACTGTAGAGATACAAAAAATGGGCCCTTAGTTGTAAACTGACACTTGAACCTTACAATGGTGGTCTCCACAGCTGCAGGAGATGGGTCAGCCACCAAAGGAGCTGGTGGGAGACATGGGCCCAATGCTCAACTTTGATGAAGCCGGAAACCCAGTGTTGCCAGATGTGTCTGCACTTCTTGGTGCTGCTGGCCTCCCTGGTAGTGGACCAGCAGCCACAGGTGCTTCGGGTCAACAGCCAGCGGATGGGGAACAGTGTAGCCTCATGTGATGGACATAATGACAGCCCCTACTAGTGAGTGCAGCATTTCTTATTCACTTTTGAAGTGTCATAATGATTAGAATTGACTTTATAAGATAGTACAGTATAAAATATTAACCCTCTCAACCTTGGAGTCTCAGACACATACGTGCATGAAAACTTACGCTCAGCCTCGGAGGTTTTTGCCAAAAAATCATAGATTTTTTGTCTGTCAAATGACATCCAAAGTTCAGTCAGTTTCACTGAATAGTTTTTGAGTCATTTGAAAATATAGCCCATTAGATGCCACGTTGGCGTCGCGAGGCTGAGTGTAAGTTTTTTCGCCTTTTATGTTCGACGCCGCGAGGCTGAGAGGGTTAGGCTCAAAGCTTTTGAGGCGAACATTATTTGCCTTATAGCATGTTTGTACAGCTTAATGTAAATTATTAGTGGATAACAGTTTACTCTTATTGAATTACTAAACCAGAGTATATAGTAGTCATTTTGTATGTATTAATAAGTATAATTTTCAAGTACTGTACTGTACCTTGCTGAGTTTATGATAGAAAAATCAGTTTGTATGATGTATTTAGGTCATACCATCATGGAAGTGTGCATTAGGGTGTGTTTGTTGCCTTAGTCACTGAAGATCACAAGTTGGTCAAATTCACCAACTGATAACTGCCGTATGAGGTATATATTACAGTTTACTGTTCTCTCACACAACCTCACCATGATATCAGTTCTTCAGTGATGTGTTGAAAACTGCTTTCATACTATTATTACTTTATAACATTGTTTGTCCTTCTAATATAAACAAACTTAGTTTATGGTAATTTTTATAACTATGCATTAGACATAATAATAGTAGTGTGTAATTTCAGAATTTCTGGAAAAAAATAGCTTTAAACATCAGATACTGATCCATTTTAAATGTCTTTCTTACATTACCCTAAAGCGAGGATGGCACATGATGGATGGTGGAGCACAACCACTGTCATTATCACGGTCTATCTTATGTGCTGTGTGCTGTACAGTATAAATTTCTGCAGATCATTATATTACCAAGTTGTCCAAGTCTTTCTGAATTGGCATAGATTGGTGATGTTTAATAAACATACACAGTATGCAATCTAATGTGGACACTCTAAAACTACAGAGACCTATACTGAACTGTACAGGGTGTTGCTTATAAGTGGATCCATTGGGAGTAGGTATAGTAATAAAGATTAAAAAGGTTATTGTCTGTAATCTGAGAACAACTGTCATTAAAGTCTGTAGCTGTCAGTCTCAAGTTACAGACAATATCTTCAACATAATTAGGTAAAAATATTAAAAAATGCATGAGAAAAGTAAAAAAAAATACTGTGAATAAAGGTACCAATAACCTTAAAATCCCAATGGTTCCACTTATATGCAACACCCTGTAGATGATGGTCATGTGATCTTGATCAATATCTACTTTGTCACACTAGTAAAATGGTACCCCCAAGAAACACTATAAAGCCACAACCTTCATTCTTTCCATATCTAAATAAAGTGTAGTTTTTCACAGTCTGTAAATGACAGTTTTTTGCTTATATGGAGAAACAGTACCTAGTCAAATATTCAGCTACAAATGTTTCCAGGTTGCTTTTGGTCCTAAATATATCTGTAGAGATTGTCAGACTGAAATATTGAGGACATTTCCAAAGTGAGGTGGAAGGGTTAAAATTTTGAATGGAGAATATATTGTAGTTCCCAAATGAGTTTCCAGTCTCACAAACTGCTGTTATGACCAAGAAAGGTATCCTGTACCTTACTCTTGTATGGTTATCACAATGTTTACTATGTGAATTTAAGGATGTCATCCACAAGTAACTATCTCCATGCATTTTCATAAGACTACTGTACCTCTTACTGAACTGAATTTGTATTATAAAACTAAGGGTCAACGTTTTCTTTACCAGGTACAGTACTTGTATTTCATGTTTTCTGCTGTTCCTGTTTAATATTTCTGTTGCGTTAGTTATCAGTATCAGCTAGGCTGTCTTTTGAAGCTTTAGGGTGGTGTGTGCAATTACATAAACCTTGAGTAAGATAATTTAACCCCATAAGCATGATAACTGAACCCCTTGAGAAAAATGACTTATATCTTGAATACTGCCACACAGTAGAAACAACAAGAATGTAATAGTGACTACAGTAATAATATATTGTTCATGTATGGACGTGGTGAAAGGACAGGGAATATTCTCTCTTCCAATTTCACCAGGAAATCTCGCCAGCACACTGATGCTTTTGGAATTTTAACCCACATTTTATTTCTGTTTTGAATTTGATTTGAACCTTAGGAAAGTACAGTACAAAAATTTACATTGGGGAGTGGAGCAGCTGAGTAGTGTTAGTAGACTTTGCCTTCTTCTCCCCCCCACATATTACACTGCTCTTCACACCCACCTAGCCTGACACCAATCAACCTTCCACTGATTCATTTATACCTTTGTTGTATACTCTATCTTGAATTTCCATACTGAATTGTAAAATAATTGAAATGCTGAAATTTGCCTAAGAGAGTAGAGCTTTCATTGTGATAAATCTTTGCAGACCTTAAAGTGTCCTTATGTTTACTGCTATTTGATGTTTTAACTGGAAATATAGTAAAATCCAATTTTTACATGTATACTGTATTATTATTTATTTACTGTATAAACATGTATTGTGGTTTTAATGGTTTTAATAGTCAATATTACCCGTAACTGGCCTGTTAGGTTAGCCTTTGTAACCAACTTCATCTCAAAGTTGTGAGAAGATATTTGTGGAAATGATTTTCTGTGTTTAGTTCAGTACAGTAAAACAAATAATGAAAAGGAGCTCATAGGCCTGGCAGCTTGTTAGGGGTACACAGATATTGCACTCTGAACACTAAGCCTTCAGTACAGGATATGATCCCTATGTCCATTCTACAGATGTGATGCACACTCAATATGTTATATAGACTGTAATTGGAAGTTTACTGCAATTTTACCTTTTCAAGTAGATTGTCATATTAAATTATCTCTTATTATGAAGTTTAAGATTAGTACTGTAGCATCTTCAAAACATACTCCCCCAGATGCTTTGTTAGTGCAGTACAGTATGCTGATACTGTACAGTGCAATACTTGTTTCATCTATAATTAAAGAGTGGAAACATTTTATAACACACATTAACTCTCTGCTCAAATTATAATTTTAATAAGTTAATCACCAAGACCTCCAGATGAGGAGTTGAAAATTTTTATCAATATCTTTAGTGGCTATAGTTCCTTGAAACATAAAATTTAGTGGCTATAGTTCCTTGAAACATCAAGTTTAGTGGCTACAGTTCCCTAATACATCAAGTTTAGTGGCTATAGTTCCCTGAAACATCAAGTTTAGTGGCTACAGTTCCCTGAAACATCAAGTTTAGTGGCTACAGTTCCCTAATACATCAAGTTTAGTGGCTATAGTTCCCTGAAACATCAAGTTTAGTGGCTATAGTTCCTTGATACATCAAGTTTAGTGGCTATAGTTCCCTCAAACATCAAGTTTAGTGGCTACAGTTCCCTCAAACATCAAGTTTAGTGGCTATAGTTCCCTCAAACATCAAGTTTAGTGGCTACAGTTCCCTGAAACATCAAGTTTAGTGGCTACAGTTCCCTCAAACATCAAGTTTAGTGGCTATAGTTCCCTCAAACATCAAGTTTAGTGGCTACAGTTCCCTGAAACATCAAGTTTAGTGGCTACAGTTCCCTCAAACATCAAGTTTAGTGGCTACAGTTCCCTCAAACATCAAGCACTTGCCTCTATAACAGGTCTTAAAATTAATGGTGCAATATATTGTGAAAACATTAAGTTCGACCTTTCATAAAACACTTGACCTCCCTCACAGCAGCTTCTACAATTTCTATATGTTTTGTGCAGTGTAAAGAAAACTGAACTCTGAGTGGATGTTCTTAATAATGAATGGGGTGAGAAGTGGTCCTCCCTATTTCTTTGACGTTTCTAGTCATTATTAAGCTAATGTTGTTATAACCAGATTGTATTGTCAGTAGTTGTAAGGTCTTTAGATTGTTTTGAACATAGAATTTTCTGTAGAAGATAACTCTAATACAACTGTACTTTAACTCCTAAAATATTGGCATAACCAAAGTCTGCCCAACCTACCCACCCACTGCACAGTATACAGTACTATATCCTCTGTTTATGTCGGTCTTAATTACCGGTATTTCATTTCCCTTAAACATCACTGACATTTCCTGTTTCAGTGAGTAAGTAGGGCTGTCTTGAATAATTTTTTAATATATATTTAATGAGAAATAAGAGATATGAAAAAACGTTTGCTTGTGGCAGCATCTATGCTCTGGTCACCTGTTTTGTTACTGACCGGTGCCAATAATTCACATCTTCTTAACTTAATTGTTGTTTACCTTTGATAACTATGTAACAGTTAGACATCTAATTTCAAATGTTTAACACATCCCAACATAAATAAATGTCTCACTGTATTGGCAGGTGTTTGGTCATTTTTAAATGTAATACTTTGCTGTATATTGTCAATCTTTCATGGGCAAATAAAATACAGGGGTATAATGTTTTCCATGAATAAAAATAAATATTTAAGCAGTTCAAAGTAAGTATAGTACTGTACAGTACTCTGCAGCACAGGTCACCCATTAAGATGCTGAGCACACCTAGGGCATGTAAGAACACTACTGGTTGTTAGAAAAATGACTCACGCACACACACGCATGCACGCACACAGACACCTCTCTTTTTGCACTGTCACTATGTTGAAATGCCCTGTAGTATGAGTTTCTCCCCACCTAGTCATTATATATCATATTTGTAACACTTATGTCACTTGTATATTATTTGTAAATCAAAAGACCCATTCCCCCATTATGCAACTATATTTTCAGCCTTCTGGCTGCCATGCTCTTTCAATAAACTGTTAATTGTTATAATTATTACGCACACACACACACACACTGTGTATAGTGGAAGCATACAGGCTTTTTAAAAGCCCAGATACCCCTGTGAGTCGCAGATGTTGGCAATTTTTCACTTGAATGTAAAAAAATTTTAGCTGTTAGGCCCCTGCTTTCAGCGCGTCACGTGGTGGCACTCTAAGGATTTTCTTGTTTTAATTAAGAGATATGTGTGTGGATGAATGTGTATAATTATATTCATCAGTGACGGGCATGGTGGATTGGATGTTAAGAGAGACTCCCAGGTTGTTCAAATCCTGTCTATTTAAGGAACACCACATGCAGACACCCCTGTCCCCGCCAGACTAATGGAAAAACCAGATTTTTCCTGCTGACGTTCCAACGGGCTGCTGTTGACTCATTGGTTTTTATTGAGTGGGTACATATACATAAACATAATACATAAATAATTGAAATTGCACCTCCCAATGGTATGGTGTTATTCGTTGGGTGTGTTGACGCTAAGTTGGCTAGTGCGTTCTGTGTTGGTGCAGTGTGGACATAATCATAAGAATTTTAAAGGCATAGACATCAATGATGGAATGGATGATGGTGATACATATATACCAAGATAAAAAAAAAGTGTTGGAGTCTAGCTCTTCGTACACGAAGTTTTCTTTATTCGAGCGCCCTCAAGTGGGACGTCGGAAACAAGGGTATGTCACAGGGAACGCAGTATCTCGGTGGACAGAGCTCTTGGGCAAGGAAATGGTGGTACCGCCTTGCTTACTGTGTGGCACACGCCCCCAGTGCTCGTCGTGGGCACGTCTGTTAGCTAGCCAGACGCTTGCACCCTGAGGGTTCGCAGGATCTTAATTGAACCTCTCTATGGCCATGGTGGTGAGGATAGCAATGCCTGGGCCTCTGATCCCCATTTTTCTGAGCAGTTTGGTGGTGGCGGTGCGAATGCCACCACGTGCACCGACAGCAGTTCCGAGGAAGGTGATGTCCCCGACTGGGGTCGCCAGCTCTTTACTGACGATATACCTCCTCAATTGTGCCTCATACGCCTTGTACTTTTCAATCTTGACCTGCTCAGCTCTGGAGGGCATGTTGGTCGCTCTCGTAGGGTATACACAGGTCCAGCACTGTGTAATGGCCGTTTTTCTGTATTAATAGGTCTGGCTTCACGAATGTGTGACGTGTTGGTATTCTGGGCTCGGTCTTGATGTCATATCCCTCTATCTCGAGCCATTGGCCGAGCTTTTTGAGGATCGCATCGTGTCTCGTGACTCTGTGGTTCTGAGCAGCCTGACATGACTGCAGCAGGTGCGTTAAGTCTTCCTGCCCTTCTCCACATCGTCGACATGTTAGTGTGACAAGCTCCTCGTTTGGTACGCAGCCAATGGCTCTCGAGACTCGGCACGAGATGGATTGTGACCGGAGTCGTAACAGGTCAATCGGCTTTCTTCCTGGTCCAAGATAATTTTTCAAGATCCCGTTGCAGGCTTGTTTCCTCAAAAAATTCTCAGCCCCCTTGCCTTGCCAGGAGTTGCTCCATTCGTCCCTCTTCTTCTCTACAATTTCCTTCTTCATCTGGTGTGTGATGTCGACGCAGATATATTCTACCTCGAAGTGCCATGCCATTGCTGCCACCTTCCTCCCCCAGAGACCTTCGGCTGCAATGAGCCTGACGGCCGGATCACCGGAGGTCCTAAGGCGGTGAAGCAATCCCATCTTCATGTGGGTTACGCTCTCGACGAGGCTTGGCACTCCCATTCCCCCATCCTTCAAAGGTAGGCCTATTAGGGATGAATGAAGAGTATGAGGAAGGTGAACCCACTGCCTGACTTGTACGTTGATTTTCTTATCAAGGCACTTGAGCAGGTTAAGGGAGTTGAGCCTTTCACGTACATGTACTGAAGCTTAGGGATGACATGTTGCTTCAGTAACTTCAGCTTTTGTAGGGGCTTGAGAGGACTCTTGCCAATCCTGTCCATGATGGTCGCCAATACAGCTTTTTCCAAATTGACCTGTCGCCCCGGTTTCTCTAGCCATGAGGGACCCACTCTTAGTCCGAGGTATTTGACACATTCATTAGGCTGGATGCTCGGAATGGGTATTGCTTCGCCAGTGTCTGGGTGTCGTAGGTGGAAACATGCTTCCGTCACTATGCGGAGACTTAACCCATTTCGGTTCCCTGCCGCTCTCTCAAGACTAATCGTGGCGCACTTTGCCGGTTGTGCGGCCAGACCTCTTGCTTGCAGGAAGTCATCTAACATGGCAGGGTTTCTCCTCATGCCCAGACTGGATCCAGAGACCACTACTAGGTCATCAGCGAATCCGGTGACTGCAACACTAGTATGTTTGTTGATGCGGTATACGGTTACTTGGCATAATGATGCCAGGTACTCGTCCATCACTGAACAAAAGAGGAAGGGCGAGAGTGGACAGCCCTGTTTAACTCCTCTAGTGATGGAGATGGTCTCTGAGTCTTCTCCGTTGACACAGATCTAGGTCTCCAAGTCGTCGTATAAGTCCTGCATAATGGCTAGAATGTGTTGTGGTGTATCTAGCCTTCGGAGAGCTCTGTTGAAAGAAGAGTGTGAGATGGTGTCGAAAGCTTTCACAACGTCTATGAATGCAATGTAGACGTTTTTCTTCTCCTTTCGGGCGTGTCTGATGATACCTTCCACGAGTGCAAGGTTTTCTCCGCATCCGTTGACTGCCCGAAACGCCTTTTGGCTAATGCTGGTCTCCGCATTTCCGCTCATCCTGTGTGACAGGATCTTGCAATACACCCTAAGGAAGTGCGACCCGATGGTGATGGGCCGCCAGTTGGATGGATTTCCTAGGGGCGACTTCTTGGGGAGCATAGTTGTTCTGCTCGTCTTGGTCCATTGGGGAACCTTTGCTAGGTATAGCCACACGTTAAAGACCCTGCCCAGAACCCCCGATCCCAGTCTTCGTAGGGCTTTGGAGTCTAACTCTGGGTTGTCAGGGCCTGCTGCCATTTCAGGTCCTCGTAGTGCTACCAGAATGTCGTTTTTAGAGATTGGCAGGAGAGTGTCTAGCATTTTGTCATTGTTTTTGCTGGTGAATGGTAAGTTGTCGGGGGGGATGGTGCGGAGAACCTAGGTCTGTACTCGTCAAATTCTAAGACCGTAGGGGTCTCCCCCTCGAGCTCTACAGCATCAATGATTTTTTTGGCAAGCTCTTTAGGGCTTCGTTGGTAGGCCCTTTGTGTTTGTGCATACTCCCTCTTCTTCCGCACTCTTCTTGGAAGATGGTGTTCCCTAGGCTGGTTATTGGTGGTGTTGCTCCTCCGAGGTTGTCTCCTTCCGGTGAAGAGCCTCGGTCTGTATTGCCTCAGCGCCGTCTCTAATCCATCCAGTGCTGCACCATAGTCCCCCTCCGTTTGGTCTTCGGGAGCAGGGATGTTGCACAACGCCTGGTTGAGGTCAGAGACTAGCGTGTTAGCCTCCTCCTCCTCCTCCTCGCTGAGAGCCCCAAGATACTCCCACAACCTCCTCCTAACCTCGCGCTCGCGCTCCAGTTCTTCTTCAGAATCGCTGGAGGAGTCGTCTGGGTCTGAGGGGTTGGGGTCATTCCCTCCTTGGGGGAGGTCTTGGGGGTTTGGGGCCTCTTCGTTGCCTAGGTCAGGGTGCAAATGTGGCCTCTGTTGGTCGTTGTTAGCGAGGCTTTCTTGTACTTAGTGGTTTTCCTCATCGCTTTGAGCCGTTCTAGGCTAATTGAACCTCCCGGAAGACTTTCCAGCAAGAGCTGGTTGATGAAGGTTGTCTTCCTGCCGGACTGGAGGAGCCGTGCCTCTTCCTCGGCTACTAATGCGATCTCTTGAGGTGAGTAGGGTACCCTTTTCTCTGGCTTAAGTGTCCTATTGTACACTTGGTGATTCAGTCGAGTGTGCTGGGTGAGGCCCCTTGCACTCGAGAACGTTTTCCCACAGACGTTGCACTGATGCACCTTAGGGTTGGCACAAGGTGGTGTCTTGCTGCGGTCTTTTGGTGGTGTGGTGCAGCTAACTGTATTGTCGAAGTCTTGACGACAACTATTAATGACACACACGGTGTAATGTGCTTCACACCGTTTTGGCTCGCTCAATGCCTTGTGGCAAATGCTACATCTGATGGTCACTGCCAGTTGGTGCTTGGCCTCAACATGCCTGGTGTACTTAATGTTGTCGTAGAACACCTTGGTGCAGTAGGCACAGATGATTGTTGCTGAGGCGCCGGCCCCATGGTACACGATGACTTCATTCGCCGTTTTGCTAGTAGACATGTCCAGTTGATTAATACTGCTCTGGTTGGGGTGATCCTTAGCTTCTATCTGAACAGAAGCCGTGGTGTCTGAAGGACTTAATGGGCCTCGGGGCTTGCCAGGTATCACATCCTTCACCAGAGATACTCCCCTAGAGAGAGCCCCGTATGACTGGGGCGTACCCTCTCCGAGATACTGCCGCTCCCGGGACGGTGGGGGGTCACGTGGTGCCCCTGCAACCCCGGACCCCACCCTACTGGTGTAGGAGTCTCGCACGCTGGCGAAACCCCTACCTTCCTTCTCCTCCAGACACACTCCTTTACCTCTTAACACTCGCCCGATTCTCGCCTGCCTGTGGAGCTGAAGGCTCCACAGACAGTGGACACGATTCAGTAGCTGCACTGGACATCAGTATACAAACACAATTCCCTGAAACGCTTATCTTATGGATTAACGGAAATACCGAATGGCAGACTACCTTTAAGAGAGGCACACACGTGTGCTGCCACTATGTAGGTATTAAAGTACAGTATACCATAAAAGAAGTCATAAAGAAATAGAATTGTCATCTATAAGTTCCACTTTAATTTGATGAATTATTTATGAAGAAACTGGTCTTCCATTTTACCAATTTAATTTAGTACAATACAGTACAGTACAGTACAGTACACAATTATCAGGGATGAAAAATTTCTGCAAAATTGGAGAATTCCTGGATTTCCATTATTGGCCTCTCAGAAGTTACACACATACAGAAATAAGGTTGTTGTTTTTTATCTCAGAAGAAATTTCTTACTTTCTTTTAAGTGAACTGTGTATCATAGTCATGTTTTTGATCAACTGCTTTGTGATTATAGATTTGCTATAATGTTCTTGTGTATAACCAATCATTAGTGGGGTGTGTGTGTGTGTGAGACAATGCTCATTCCAGTACCCAGTACAGTATTGTACTGTACTGAACACTTACTCGTAAAACTTTCTAAATTTGGTCACAAAGGTGTGCTTATAGTAGTAAAGTTATAGCAGTGTGTACTAGTCTACAAGTTCATATGTTTTGTTTTAAATTAGTCTTACAAACAAAAAGTCATATTAAAGGAAAAAAAAAATTATTGTAGAATTGCTTAACCCTTAACCAGCAGCCAGCATTAATGCATGTTTCGTGTTCCTTGTGTTCCAGTTTTTGCTCACATGGGGGCACACTAGGGAATTCTCACATGCTGTTTAAGGGTTAAATAGTAAAAGGAAAAAACAAATAAACAAAAATAATTTGTAAAATGCAAAAACTTAAACTCCATCTTTTAACTTAGATTTTCTAGATGACTATAGGTACCCCTCGCTATACAAATGTTCGCTATACAAATATTCTATTCTTACACCCTTTTTTCACTAAGCAAAAATGATATTAGCTTTTTCAAAAAACAGTAAGGCTCTCCTCACCCCATGGTGAGCCCTCACATAAGATAATGTACCAACTGCATGCACTATATTTAGTTCGCAATTTGTTAGGTACAGTACTAAAAAAAAAAAATTATGAATTTTTTTTTTTCATGTACAGTACAGTACTATTATGTTTTTGTTGTTGTTCATGAACCATATTTTTTGGGGGGGGTAGAATAATGCGGGATTTCTTATCATTGGAAACTGAACCCTAATTTTTCCCCATCTACAATACTCGTATTAATGTTATTCAGTATCTGAAAAATTGTTATCCAAATGGTTCCAGGAACCTATTCCTTTCAGATAGCGAGGGATACCTGTAATAGAAAAGTCACTGACAAATCCCAGAAATTTCTGACCAAAATACTGTAGGTGCCACAACTTGTGTGTACATACTGTACATCATCTTTTGCTTGAGTGTTTGTGTATTTTACACCAGACTCTTATCACTAGTGTATGGACCCTGCAGTTTCTGAGTTCTTCACTCAAACCATTTTCATCCTTGATATACATGTACTGTATATGTATATATAATGCTGTAAACTCACTAGTAATACTATATGTTTCATATTTTCATACTGAGGTAAATGCCATTTGTCACCTGCTTACTTTGTGTTTCTGTAACTGAGACCACTTGGCTGCATCTTCAGGTGATAATGACCAATTAACATAATGTGCAGTATTAAATTAGTTCTGAAGCAACCTCAAACAAGCTAAAGTACTACAGTAATAAACTTGGTTGTAATCCACATAATTTTCGGCACAATATTTTTCCTTCATAAGTACAGTACACTTGTTGTGCCTCTGTCTGTTTACATTTGAGTGATAAGTGGATGATAGAACTGCTGTAATAAAGCCTTTTTAAAAGTGTGTTATCAAATCATATATGTTGTATCACAAAGACACTATAATTAGGTAACTTGTGTATAGTATTGTGATACAGCTACACAAGACTAACGTTTTGTTTGATATAGGAGTCGTATCTGCTGAGGCTCCATCCAGCTGTACACTTGGATGTCTTAAGGGTCTTTTATTTATTTGGAGTATTACAATACCTGTTTCTCTTAATAATTCTAATACCTGTACTGTTTCAGTTGAATTAATGAATACTGTATGTATAAAAATATATCTACATTGGTCATATTATATCTGATATCTATTCAGGCCATGTGATACCTGTCTTGTATACCGGGTATTTAAAAAAAATCCATTTTGATATTCAATAATAAAAATTTTTGGTATGGGAAGGGAAACAAACTGATGTGAAACAAAACCAGTCCTATGTGCTGTCACTTGCCAGTGATAAAGTCCCATATGATGCTGTGTCACTGCTTTTACCTATATGATTTTAGAATTGAGTAGATGTAGTTGGTGGTGTAACCCTGAGGGACCAGCACTACTGGCTCACTCATTTTAAGTTTACTTCAATATTATAATGTGCAATAGAATTGTACAAGTGTATCTTCATAGAAGAATCAGCAAATTTTTAAATGAAGAAACTCGATGGATATGTCATTTTGTTTTATAAATTATATTTTGAAAGTGTAATATCCAGAATTACTTTATATGAGTTAGAGCAATCTGTCTGTGTGGTTCTCACCCATCATTCTGAAGGGCACTGAAAAAAAAAATCCTGCGAGTTTTAACTTTCTAATAGCAATGTGCCCGACAACACAGTTAATTACTAAGAGTATTAGGAAACTACAATGATTTGAACATACCTGTACAGCACTGTACCTCTAAACAACCTGTGAAAAAATAGAATGCTAGAACAATACTGTATATGAGATGTGCCAAACCACTACCTGCCAAATGCCAGTGGGATCAGAATTTAGTTATTTATACCACTATATTCTCTCAGCCTTCCACTGTCTTGTGGGCGATTCAGGAAGCAGATTATGGACCCGTACGTATGGTTGAGAGTCTGTAGAAAAAAAAAATAGTTTTTTTGAACATTTCACCACTATGCATTAATATTATCTCTTTCCGATTCTGGACCACAAATTTTTAAGTGCCACCATGTTTCCTGGAAGGACAGCGAGCCAATCGCAGTACATGGCCCATACCGCCAAGGTCTCGTGACATTTCTTAGCCAAAGGGTTGCTGTATCTTCCTTCCCTCCTTTCTCACCTACCTACATGCATGTTGTGTCCCCCATCTCTCTTCTCCGAAACAGTTGGCATACTGTACTGTACAATACTGAACTCTTGGTTTTATCAGATTTTATCTTGCAAAACTCGTACAGGTATGACTTTTGAAACTTCAGTTTTCTTATTATGTAATTTTTTAAGTACAGAATTTTATATTAGTAAAAAATAATAACAAATGCAACTTAAAAGCCACATACAGTACTGATAATTAAATATTGATATTAATGAAAAAAATCACATACATTAAACCTTCAATACCTCTGCACATATGGGGCTCTGGCCTTGCCGAGTTATCCCAAATTCCGAATTATCGAGACACATTCCCCCTCCTACAAAAATACAACACTAAAAAATTATTGACCCATATACATTACATGAAATTACTAAATGTAAAAAAGTAGCACTTACCAGCACTGCAGGTGAAGAATGAAGCATCATAGTAGGTGACAGAGGTATGGTAGGTGACACAGAGGTATAGCAGGTGACACAGGCATGGTAGGTGACAGGTATAGTAGGTGACACTGGCATGGTAGGTGACACAGAGGTATGGTAGGTGACAGAGGTATGGTAGGTGACACAGAGGCATGGTAGGTGACACAGGTATAGTAGGTGACACAGAGGCATGGTAGGTGACACAGGTATAGTAGGTGACACAGAGGCATGGTAGGTGACACAGGCATGGCAGGTGACACAGTATAGTAGGTGACAGAGGTATGGTAGGTGACACAGAGGCATGGTAGGTGACACAGAGGCATGGTAGGTGACACAGAGGTATGGTAGGTGACACAGAGGCATGGTAGGTGACACAGATGTATGGTAGGTGACACATGCATGGTAGGTTACACAGGTATAGTAGGTGACACAGAGGTATGGTAGGTGACACATGCATGGTAGGTGACACAGAGGCATGGTAGGTGGTGCAGGTGGCCAGATATGCTGAGATTTTCCCAGATAGTTTTATATATCACAGCATTTCCCGAGTTATACTATAATACATTCCGAGACCATGTCCATTCTGAGTTATATGACAAGTTATCGAGGGTTTACTTTACATGTATACACAAAATTAGAGATAGTTACATTATGGAAAAAATAATCAATCAAGTATTATTACTGTACGTACTGTATTGGTTCAAAAGTTATGGAAATTGTAAGTTGACAAACTTTATCTGCATTTTTCTCCATTTTTTAATTTTGGTGCTTGACAGCTGGTAGTCTGAAACTTCTCATACTGTATAGCAACCATCATTATGGAATTTACAGGGAATGGTTTAAAGTACTGTATTCTATTCAACTTGAAATCTCAAATATTTACAATATCTTTTATTTTCTTCAGAGAAAGAATAACGGGAATTGGTAAAAACTTCTTAGATTAACGAGAACTTTGGCAGTATACAGCAGGACAAATTTTCTCTTGTGCTCAGGGATAAGAGCAGCTACAAAGTCACAACCTCTTGTATATTTTGCAATTGTAAAAGTTGTACAGTACTGTACAAGTACCTGTATAGCCAACTTACTCCACTGTATTGAAAACCAAGAGGTTTTGATCTTATGTTGAACTTTTCAAAATGGATTAACTCCTTTTTTGTCTTTTATTGTAATTTTAGAGTTTGTATACAACATTTAGTATCATTCATGTGTCTACAAGAATTCTGCTACAGTTTACCGAGCTCAATTTTTCAAACATTTTGTTATGATCCATGAGTCTCATATACAAACTGTATTTAGAGTGCCATTTACAGCCTTCAAGAGTTATATAATTTGATGTACACTACTCAAAAAGTATCTTTATGGATGAGTCCGATGAAGAACACCGCAACTCCTGTTGTCTCGGTAGGGTAGTCAAAATCCTTCATCCGTTGTATCATAATTATTGTCTCACACAAAATCATAAAGATACTTCTTGGAGTGAGTGTACAACATAAGGCTTAAAATATATTTATTCATCAAATCATTCAAACACTCACCAAGAGGGCGGTAGATATTGTAGTGGCTAGTTGGTGATGAAAGACTAAAAATTAGTAGTACAAACAGTTAATAACACCAGTGGCAACCCTTAGTTTACAAATTGAGCCCTGCCATCAAATTAATTTCTTAAACTGATTCTTATCTGATACTATATCTGAGTTGTTAATACTGTACAGTACATGTATATTTCCTAACACAACATGGAAATTTGTTTCAGTAATCCTAATTCACATAAACTGTTTATAAACATGTAGGTTCATTTGTTCTTTCCATTTTTTTTTTAACATTTAATCACTGTAATGAACACCCAAAAAATCTTATCAACATCATATCACAAAATTGGGATCACCTACCGGTAAGATGAGGCACCCCATCTTATTTCACCTGATGATTAATGACCATAACCCTCCCTCCCTAGTGAGCATTAAGGTGTTTATCCATCAGGTGAAGTAAGTTGGAGTGCCTAATTTTAGGGTGATCCAGAAATTATACGTTATAGTTTATTTTATATGTCACACCTGTATAAAAAATAACAGTTTGGTGGGATAAAGATCAAGAAAGTCAGTGTTGGTTGCTTAGGTTACATGCCAGGCTACATAGATACTGTACTATACTTGTACTGAAGGCTGGAATTTAGGGTTTGTTTTCGGTAGTCCTATCTCAAGTTTATTGAATATGAATTTCAGTACAGTAATTGTATCAGCCAGCAGAAGTTGAAATGTAAGTTAACAAACAGAAGAGGTATCCTATTTACTAAAGCGTTTTGCTGTATCAGTGTTTGGTTTTGGGTTTAGCCAGTGTTGTACTGTACCAGTTTTTGGTTTAGTCAGTGTTGTACTGTACTGTACTGTACTAGTTTTTGGTTCAGCCATTGTTGTACTGTACTAGTGTTTGGTTTTTGGTTTAGCTGGTGTTGTACTGTACCAGATTTTGATTTAGCCAGTGTTTTACTGTACAAGTGTTTGGTTTTCAAGTTGTGCAGTTTTTCTCCACTTGGGCAGTTACCTGGGTTTTATATATACTGTATATGTATATCTGGCAAAACAGATTATTCAGTCCTGGATGACTGAACATTTTCAAAGTGTTTACCCTGGGATCTGTATATAATGTAAAATAAATTTTATACACATGAGCAGTTAATTATTACCATTTTAAGAAGTTGGCTTAAATACTCTTAAGAAAAATTTCTATAATTTATTGAGAATAATTTGCATCCATAATATTATTATCTTATTACACTATGTATTTACAGTGGCCAGCACAGCATTCTCACTGTTCCTACTCTGAAGGTTCTTCATATAATAATACAGAACTGTATACTAGTCAGAGAGTAAAACTTCACCATCGACAGAGACAATACTGAAAACACTGAACACGGTTTATCCCCAGATGGTGAAGCAAAAGGACCACGGAAAAATAGGTTAGATTCTTGGCTGATTTTGATGACCCACTAACTTATCCTATAACTTCATTCCACGAAACAAAAATCAAATAAATTGTGTTTTAAGGTAGGTGAAGATTCTTGCCTGACAAAAATATACATATAGGGTCCCTGGGTTTCGAACGGGTTCCGTTCCTGAGGACGTTTGTAAGTCAGATTTGTACATAAGTCAGAACACATGGTATATGCATACTGTACTTGCAAAACAAGGTTTCAAATACCACTATATCACAGCCTAAGTCCTTATATACATCTAAAATCACTTAATTTAAGAGAAAAGAAAAAATAGAATGCCAAAATACAGTAATTGAAAGCAAAAAATAAGTCATCAGGTAAATAAAATACTGTAAATTTCAAGTTTAACCCTGTTCATATTGGCCGGTGTTTGTAAGTCGGACATTCGTAAGTCGAGGACCTCCTGTACATTATTGTACAGCTGGAATGATAAGTGTGATCTTTCTTCCCATCTCTCCTCTCTACAGCAAAGATCAAAAGGGCAGGAACTGAAACAAGATACAGTAAAAGTCCAAAAATCCAGATGCCAGAAATCTGGACCACCCGAGAATCCAGGCTTTTCGAAAACTCAATTTTTTTTTTTTAGCTGGCTTTTGTGTGTATGTACGCATGCGTGAGCACCACAGCTGCATAGCGACAACAAGCAACCACGCGCGGTCGCCACTTTAAAACGAGCAACCAAACTGTGACAACGTATGTAATTTTGAGTCCTACTCTTTCCATTTACAGAGTACAGTTAACCCTCACTTTACGCGGTTAATGTAACCCGGAGGGTACCGCGGAAAGTGAGAAACGCGTAAAGTGAATAACATAACATATGGGATTAATTGAAATGGAGTCCGGGCCGATCCCCAAACTCCACTTTTTGACGACACACAACTATGTTGTAGTAAAAATATTATCTTAACTTTATGATGGTATGCACACACAATTAATAATTAAGAGAAATATCAATAATATTAGGTTTTTTAACACTTACATTAGTAGAAAAAATGGCTGGGAACACGGGGATGGGCGGTTGGTTCCGAGGCAGAGGGCAGATTATTGGCCCTCACCTGTATCACTTGTATCAATTGTATCACTATCCACCACAGAGGCTTGCAGTGCCTCTGTCAAACTCCCCAAAG